GGGGGGGGGGGGGGGGGTGAGGATCTATACTGTACCTTTGTATCTTCCTAATGCTGCATAGTTAAAAACAGAGACAAGCACAATGAGGACACGCTCATTAACAGCACTGTTATCAAAGCAGCAGAGCAACTTTGGTAGGATCAACCATTTAAGACAAGAGCCAAGAAAGAGGAACAAAACGGGGGGCTGGCCCGGCGGGGGGGCTGAAGGGGATCAGAGTCACGCTGAGTGTAATGAGGAGAGCGATCTGACGGGTGATGTGTGCTCTCCCTGGAGCGCTTCAGCCACGTCAAAACCCAGAGAGAAAATGATAGTCTCATTAAAGCTAATTAGCTCAGTTTCCCTAATGGATAGCAGAAAATCCCCCCCAAAAAGAAAAATCTGGTTCATTCATGCATCATGCTGAGTATTTCATATTCATGGTTCAACTACAATGTTACTACCAAAGATATTTGGACACCCTTTATTTATGTTTTGGTGGCTGTTCTTCATGGTTTTAGCCCATAGTTCCAGTGGAAGGAGTTTTTTAGACAATATTGAGCATCCAAATTTTTAGCAAAGCTTGAGTAAGACTCTTTCTTGTTTCAATGTGGTGATTCCCCCATGTACAAGTCCAGATTTCTGGCCAAAGAGCCCCTGGGCACAGACATGTAAAAGACCCCAAGCCCACATTCCTAACAACAATAGCAAAAAACGTTGAGAGATATCTTTTAGGTCATTGTGTGTTTGCATTCGTTTTGCATCGCTTTATAGATGTTCTCCCTACATAAAATAAAGGGGAAATGATCCCATCTTTATTCTTCACATGTAGGCAGACAGATCCTCTCGAGCAGAACATTTGAGTGTCTGGAAGTCAATTAAGTATTTGACAGCAGTGTGCACTATGTAGACATATAAAGTCAAACTTTATAACCATGTACACTGCTAAATCTAAAAATCTTTTATACAGAAAAACTCTAATTGGAAGGCAGGTTAGCTGTGCTGCTGAGCCTGCTAATTCTGAAGATTCTGTTTCTATTGTAAGCTGGGTTCTATTGATCAGATCTACACACACACACACACACACACACACACACACACACACACACACACACACACACACACCGTGTCCAGGTTTAATTAGCGGGCTGCATGTGGTCTCAGGGCTGATCAGACTCAGACTCGCCGCGGGGCCTGATAAGGGTGTATTGAAGCATTAAAGAAAGAGACAGTGAGACAGACAGAGAAAAGAGAAAGAAAGCCACCCTCTGGGCCTCGGCTAATCCTCCTCCACAGCTCCAGGATTGTCAGATTCCTCATTTCACAGACTAAATGTCATCTTTCTCTTTCTGTTCTCTCACTTTCGCTCACTAGACTGCAGATGCGAGTCATTCTGTCCACCTCATAGTGAAACTGAGCTTTTCACTGCGGTCCCTCATTACACTTGTGTAATCAGTGGGGAATTCTTCTCCCGTTTGAAGAGAATCATGCAGAAACTGGACTTGCCTAGAAGTGTGGATGGTGTGTAGAATCACTGGGAGCGCTTACACAGTTTCCTGTCTTTGTTTGATTTCAAGACATTTTCCCTCAAAGTTTGTTTGCCTTTGAACTCTCATTCTTCTTGTTTCAAAAGCATATTGAACCCAACATGGCAGCTTATTTAGATGTTATTTAGAGCAGTGGTTCCCAAACGGTGTGCCGCGGCACACTGGTGTGCCGTGAGGCAAGTCCAGGTGTGCCGTGGGATTTTGTGACAAACATACGTTATTATTGCAATATACAACTACACAAAAATAATTATTTTTTTATTTACTATATCAGTACTTTGTATGCACACATTTCATAATACAGAGGCAAACTCTATACCTAAAAACGATTATTTAAAAAATAATCCTCACAGAACCCCGTATTCCGCTGTTAACGCAGTTGCGCAGGTGGGATTTATAAGACTGTGACACATCAAAGGCTGAAGGACAATATTAAAACTGAGAAACAAGCAAGCAGGAAAATGGAGCGCTTTCTTGTGCGGAGCAAACCAGCAACCACCAGTGTAGAGGCCATGACAGTATCTGTCTTATGGCTTCATTTGGCCACACACACACACACACAC